ACGGAAGACAAATACGCAAAAGAACTTTGATTTGTTGATCATTTTATACAAAGGATAAAAGTAGCAATCAACCCGTTCACAAACCTGCTGTTCCATTTCCTTCTTCATTTCGTTCACCTCTGAAGGATAAAAACAGTTACAAAGGTTATAAAATAAATTCTAGTCTCAAAAAACTCTCGGAATTTTTAAGTATTGTAGCTTTCGATTTCGACTTTGTCCCACAGTCTTCATCACCAATGAACGCTCTGTGTTGCTAAGTGATTAGTCACGTGACAACAAATGATTAAAAATCGCGGAAGTTCATTCTAGGGTCGGATACTGGCGTCTGCTTCAGATGGCCTTTTTAATTTTTGAGACCATTTTTGCAAATGGTTGCTGACAACAATTTTTAATTTGGCCTTTTTAATTTGTGACACCATCTGACAATAGATTTACTTCATTAGCATTAAATTTGGCCCATGTGAAATGCGACGTTTAAACCAGACCATGATAATTACTAAAAATGGACTGCACAGAGGTAAAAGGATAGCAAACGCGCAATAGTTTACCTTCTTCAGACACTCCTACCATCTGCGGTTGTCCGGGTTCCCCTGGAACAATGATAGGCTGACCAGCCATTTTCAACTGCTCCATTAACTTTTGGTTTTCTTCTCGCAGTTCACGGATCAGCTTCTCTGTCGGGCTTTCATTGACAACAGCTTTGGTTTTGATGGCCTTCGCTCTGTCGGCTAAAAAACAGTGTATCGTACAAATTAAAAGGGTGGCTTCTAATCAGAAGCATCTGCTTCTAATACAGCGGTACAACTGTATTTTCAACAGGGTCGGGTGGGTGGAAAGTCAGTGTGAATGGCATCAACGTCTTTCCCAGGTTTCTCTCACGCATTAGGGAACGCGTAGGAGAAAACCCTGGGAAATGGTTTACAAATGGTAAACGGCTCAGGTTGTGCTATTGTGTTGTGGGCGTACTTGGAGAACTCATTAGAAACTAAGATTGCTCTGTGTGAAGACAAAGATGGTCACCTTACCGAAACGCAATGTTGACAATGTCTCATCAAAATTGATGTCAGCAGGGCTCAAGGCAGCGATCTACCAAAAAAAAATTAAACAAAAAATTCTTTAAGACATCTAACGCACAGGTTACAGACTAATAAAGTTTGGACTGTTAAACTGAAAAAGTACATGGTACGCCTACAACTATTAAAAACAATAACAACAATAACAACAACAACAACAAAAACATCCGCAAACCAAAGCTGGCAATTACACTTTTTTGAAAAGCTAACCAGCAAATTTCTCACCATTATCGTCTTGCTGTTTCCACCCAAAGCGTTTTTGAGCAATTTGGTGAGGACAGAGTCGCGGAAAGGAACTGCAGGAGAGAGAATTCAAATGTCATAAGAAATAAGTCATGTCCCCCTCCCCACTAGATTTTAGTAGGCAATTAAATAACAATTATTGGAACGGCCGCTTTATTTTTGGATGGGAGTGGGGGGTATCGGGACAAGCATTTTTTTCTAGTCGATTAACGTGGCAGAATTTTCCCAAAAAATTAGACCGCGAGTGGTCATCCTTCTTTCCTTAGAGCCATGCGCGGCGAGCAAAAAAAATAAAATTATGAAAATTAATGTGAAAAGGGTAAAAAAGAGGAGGGATTGGTGCAAAGCTTCTCTCGAGCTATAGCCCTCGTTACTCGCGGCTTGGCCGCGAGCCCCACACGCGCACTCTCGTTTTAATGTAACTCGAAAGACAAATAAGAGATTGCCTGCAACCTACACCAAATATTTAATGCAAGATTATTAAATATACGTGAGAATTTATTGTGTATAAGTCTATGTTGCCATCTTCTACTGCGTTGAGCAGACAAAAACTTTACTTACAAATTTACCAAAATGCGATGTTTGAGCTAACTGTTTTTTTTCTGTTTCCTTTGTTTGAATTTTTTTCCTCATCAGTTTAAGCAACAGTTTTGGCAAACGTGCATTATAGAATGCTAGGGTCCTACTAGGTCTGCGAAATAGCTTACCGAGAGCTCCTTTCTTTCCCATTGACAGATCGGCCAAAGCTACAAAAAGGAAAATGAGAAAAGATAGAGATCAAAAATTGATGAACAAGCCTGTACAATCCCCTTCAGAACAGTAAGAGAGACTGGCGTATACTATTCACAATCCTCTATTTTGTCATAAGATCGTCAAGATCGAAAGCTCACAGTCACTGGCAGCCATTTTGTAATTGGTTTCAAATGTAACGAGGGGGCGGGTTTATGGCGTCCTCCGCCCCCTAGATACACTGGATAGATGAGATAAGTCATCTTCAAGCAAGAACTCGGTCAAGATGGCCACATTTGGCGCTCATTCGCTCGACGATCGTACTGAAAAAAATAAGAGGAGTCTGCTCCAGAGCCGTTTAAATGCCGTCACGCGTTGCGTGACAACACTAAAAATGCCTGTGTAGCAGGCTAAAGAACCTGTAAAGAGTTTTATAAGATTCGCAAAAACAAAGTGATAATTGTCATTTATACCTTTGATGCAGTTTCCTAGGGTGGAAAGCGACTGGTTGATAGCTGATCCCTCCTTAAGTCTATCGCCTGTGGCTCCAGTAGAGTCTGCTCTCTCGCTAAGGAAACAAAACTATACTTTTTAAGCCTTACTAAAAAGTTTACTATGAAGGGTGTGTGCACAAAAAGCGTATTTTGTGATTATTGTATGAAATACGTCTTTGCAGCAATTTCGCATTCTTGGTACCATACTTTTTTTGCTGTCGCTGTCGCTGTTGCTGTTGTTGTTGTTGTTGTTGTTGGTTTTTTTTTTATTGATTGATTGATTGATTTATCTACATTGTGTATGTTTTTCAGAATAAAATTAGGAATATGGAATATTAGTTTTCTTGAATCAAAGTCCTTTTTTGGAAAATGAAAATAGGAAGGAAAGTAGGAAGGAACACCCCCCCTCCCACCCCCCTCCCCTGCCAAAAAAGGTCTTTTTTGCTTTTGTTTTATTTTTATTTATTTATAAATTTATTTATTTTTCACTTCTCAACTCCGCTATTTGTTTAATTTTCTGGCGAAGCTCTTCACTGACCACATTCTGCTCAAACGTAGAGGATGATCTATTCCATTTCTCGGATTTGGTCTTGTCGACTCTCGCAAATGTCGGTGTCAGCTGACACCGACATTTGCGAGAGTTCACAAGACCAAATCCGAGAAATGGAATAGATCATCCTCTACGTTTGAGCAGAATGTGGTCAGTGAAGAGCTTCGCCAGAAAATTATTTATTTTTGTTAGTTTTTTAATGGTGAGATAAGAAATTGGGTAAAACTTTTCAACTACTACTCCTCGTGTGAACATCGTTAAATATGGTTTCTGTTTCTTCTCTAATTTGACCGGTCAAAATGTTAAAAATAACAAGGTAACATAAACTCGAGCGTACTAGCCTAACAAGCAAAAAAATAAGGTCTTGTTGTTTTGTTTCTGGTGGTTTGTTTGTGAGTTCGGTCAAAATGACCGGCAAGCCGGCCGAAAGTAGTCCGGACAAATGGCCATCCGGGCCGGACATGTTGAACGGCCGTTACTTTGAGCCCTGAATCTCGGCAAAAAACTTGGTACCAGCAACTGCGATTAATTGAAGGACTACAGGACTGAGATTTGACCGAGCCTGAGGACGGATGGACAAAGGCAAAACCTGTATAAGATCCACTAAACTGAGGAAACGTTTTAAAAATGGTAAACAATTAATCCTGTGGCGTTGAACATACCTTCCAGCGAGATCCACCAAATTGACAATAGACGTTTTAGTCATCATCTGGCCTGCTTCATTTTTTCCTTTCTGGGCAAAAGTTATGGCCACGATGGTGTGGGCTCGGCTAGAAAAGGTAGAGGAAGCATAAAATTGTCTCCCTTACATTTTTTTTCCTAGCTACACGGGCCAAAGTGCTAATCAAAAGTTTTCTACCCCTAAATGAGTTTTCACTATCTTAGGAGTGCCATAGCAGCTTAAGGTTGACCGCACTACCGGGCTCTACGTCCCACACTTTTTACAAACAGCAGCTAGAATGGGTTCGCCAAATCAGTGAAAGTGTTGTGACTGTAGACACTACAGTGCTGACCAATTCCAAGTGTATGGGAAAACCGCTGTGAATTAAAACTATAGATGTAGATGGGGCTTATGGTTTTTCATCCATTTGTGGATGCCAATTAAAAACAGTTATTCTTCTTGGCCTTTGTTAAAGATGCTGAGTACTGGTCAAGTTTTAAAGTCTACTTTACTTCTACTCGTGTCACCCACCAGGTGTGAAGAAAGGCTTCATTAAAGGAGAAGCGCTCAGGCTTCTAAGGACTATTTCCTCTCAATCCGCATTCCCTAAGTCGCCCGATAAAAAGAGGCTACCCTGCCGCTATTGTGAGAAAAAAACTTCTCTGATGTAAAATTCGCCAATAGGAAAACAGCCGTTTAACAGAGAAACAATTAATCTGCACGTAAAAAAAAAAATACATCTACTTCCTTTTGTTACACAATACCACCCCGCTTTGCCTAGCCTGAAGAGAATACTAATGGAGAAATGGCACCTTATAAAAAACCAGCAACGGCTAAGAGAAATCTTTAAGGAGCCTCCCCTCATCTCATATCGCAAGGGAAAATCTCTTAAGGACCTAATAGTTAGAGCAAAGCTCTGAAAGTCATATAACTTCCAATACTAAGTGCAGGAGTTTTGTGTTGCCCGTCACCTATTTTCAACCAGAGATAATTACCTGCTGGTCGCATTCATATTGGTGGCAGCCACGGTCCTATTCCGCGTTCCTTCTTCAATGCGGTTTTCAATATCATTGTAGTCCTTAACTGGCACGGTCACTAGGCTTTCGACTAAACAAGGAAACAGAAAGACTGACAGTTCACACTGATGCCAAATTTAATTAAAGCTGCCAGGGCTGTTATACCTTAAGATGGTTATGTTGCAGCTCTTCAAACCACTACAACAAAATGTTACTCTTACCTACAAATCCTTT